ACTGCGGTGAAGCATCTCCACACTCACAGCACGCTTTCAGTGGAACATGTTGTCATACATTATTCAAGGCCTTTGCATCTTATTTGTAAGCCTTACATAATAAAAGTGTGTTCTAATACACATCTTATATTGAGGCCCGTTTAAAAATGTAAAAGTTTCTTGTTTTTTTCCCTCGGGACAAAAGCTGCAATTATTAAGTTCGGTGCAGGGATGGTGGTGTGGTTTATTAGCACTGTTGCCTCACAGCAAGAAGACCCTGGGTTGAAACCCAGTGAGGTGGGGTTCTCGACAGGTACTGTAGGTACTGGTACCTCCCACAGTCCGAAGAAATGCATGGGGTTAGGTTAATTGGTGACCTAACCCCATGTGTAAATGTAGCCGTCTAGCTCTATAACAGACCGATGTTAGTCTAACTGTCCAGGATGTATCCTGCCTCTCACACTATGACTGCTGGGATCGTCTCCAGCATCCTTTTGACTCTTAATTGCATATGTGGAAGAGAAAGGGTGGATATTAAGTTATCTATTTGTATCTTGCTCTCCTAATTAATAATTAATGTGGTTAATTCCCATTAACCACATTTATGAAAACAAATAAAAACCTAAAAAAAAGAAAAGCAGGCAAAATGTTTTCCTTTGCACTCAAAGTATGAAATAAATAAACCCAGCTATGCCACAGCACAATTACACAGTTAAACATTATAAGATGTAGCCCCCACCCATCACCCCCCATATTCTGTATTCTGCTTATTCTTTGAAACAAATTGTTCAATCGAGTGTGCTGCTAAAAAGCTAACATTAGTTTATTCAGGTGAAAACAAAACCTAATGTAACTCCATATTATATAAAACAAACCCTGCTCCATTTACATCAGGCACCTTCGTGTTGTGAGGTAAAAGTGATACCACCCAGCAGCTTCTGAAGAGTTGTGAAATCACAGCCATGTAATTAGGATGAGAGGGTCTTATCTAAAAGGGAGACTGAACTGCACCTACCTTGACTTTCTCACGTCTTAAGCAGCAGAAGAGACAGTTTTCATCAAAGGACCAGTCAGACACCTCCTCTGGCTCGCAGTCTGCATGACAGAAAGTATGCAATTAATGACTAACTCAAACTCCCATAATGCTCAGGATCTCATAAGTTGACTGATGTGCTACCCGGGAGCAGAAGCTGTTAGTGTAACAGTAGAAACAAAGAGCAAAACAACGTGTAG